CTGTGAAAGTCTCTAAAATCGTGTCCTTCTACAACCACATATAAGGCTTAAAAGAGTCCTTAAAAAATATTACTTTAAAATCTACGTCCTGTCCTTGAAGGGGTCTCCTGTGAAGAGTCTCCTGTGAAGACCCATGTGTGCATCTCTAGCAATCCTTTCCATCCTTGGAGGATATACTTTAAAATCCATGTCCAGCCAATCAAAAAATATCCTTTTAGTCCTTAAAATATATCCTTTTAAAATACATGTCAAGTGCATCAAAAAATATCCTTTCAGTCTTTAAAAATATCCTTTCAAAATCCATGCCCAGTCCATCAAAAAAAAACCCTTTAGTCCTTAAAAAATATCCTTTAAAAATCCACGTTCATTCCTTAAAAAATATCCTTTAAAAATCCACGTTCATTCCTTAAAAAATATCCTTTAAAAATCCACGTTCATTCCTTAAAAAATATCCATTAAAAATCCACGTCAAGTCCTTAAAAAATATCCTTTAAAAATCCATGCCCATTCCTTAAAAAATATCCCTTAAAAATTCACGTCTATTCCTTAAAAAATATCTTTAAAAAATCCACGTCCATTTTCATAAAAAATTCTTTAAAAGTCCAAGTCCATTCCCTAAAAAATATCCTTTAAAAATCCACGTTCATTTCTTAAAAAATATCCTTTAAAAATCCGCGTTCATTCCTTAAAAAATATCCTTTAAAAATCCACGTTCATTCCTTAAAAAATATCCTTTAAAAATCCTTGCTTAAGTCTGTGAGTCTTTAAAATCGTGTCCTTCTACAACCACATTTAAGGCTTAAAAAAGTCCTTAAAAAATATTACTTTAAAATCTACGTCCTATCCTTGAAGGGGTCTCCTGTGAAGAGTCTCCTGTGAAGACCCATGTGTAAATCTCTAGCAATCCTTTTCATCCTTGGAGGATATACTTTAAAATCCATGTCCAGCTAATCAAAAAATATCCTTTCAGTCCTTAAAATATATCCTTATAAAATACATGTCCAGTCCATCAAAAAATATCCTTTCAGTCTTTAAAAATATCCTCCCAAAATCCATGCCCAGTCCATCAAAAAAATCCCTTTCATTCCTTAAAAAATAACCTTTAAAAATCCACGTCCATTCCTTTAAAAATAACCTTTAAAAATCCACGTCAAGTCCTTAAAAAATATCCTTTAAAAATCCATGCCCATTCCTTAAAAAATATCCTTTAAAAATCCACCCAAAAAACTCCTTTAAAAATCCAAGTCCATTTCTTAAAAAATATCCTCTAAAAATCCACGTCCATTCCTAAAAAATCCATTTAAGATCCACGTCCATTCTTGAAAATTTTCCTTTCAAAATCGATCAATTAGTCCCTAAAAAATATCCTTTAAAAATCCACTTTAAGTCCTTGAAAATATCCTTTAAAAATCCATGTTCCGTCCTTGAAAAATATTCTATAAAAATCCTTAACAAATATCCTTTATAAATTCACGCCTAGTCCATGAAAAAATCCACGGTCAGGCCCTGAAAAACATCCTTTAAAAATCCACGGCCAGGGCTCGAAAAATATCCTTTAGAAATCCACGTTCAGGCCCTGAAAAATATCCTTTAAAAATCCACGGTCAGGCCTTGAAAAATATCCTTTAAAAATCCAGGTCCAGTCTTTGGGTGGATATCCTTTAAAAATCCAGGTCCAGTCCTTGGATAGATATCCTTTAAAAATCCACGTCCAGTCCTTGGAAAGATGTCCTTTAAAAATCCACGACCAGTCCTTGAAAAGATATCCTTTAAAAATCCACGTCAAGTCCTTGGAAAGATATCCTTTAAAAATCCACGTCAAGTCCTTGGATAGATATCCTTTAAAAATCCACCTCTAGTCCTTAGAGAGCTCTCCATTAAAAATCCACCTCCAGTCCTTGAAGAGATATTCCTTAAATATAGTGATAGTGCCTGGAAAGTTATCCTTTAAATATTCACGATAAAGACTCCGACTGTCCATGAAATAGAATTTTTTAAAAATCTATGTTTAAGTCTTTTAAAGTCCTTGAAAATGAATTTTTCGGAAATTCGCTTTTAAGTCGTTGTAGCCCTTAAAAAGTGTCCTTTTAAAATGCAAGTTTAAACACTAATAGTTCTTGAAAATATCCTTCAGAAATCAACGTCCAAAATTGAAGAAGTAACTAAAAAAAACCACGTCCTGAATTGAAGATGTCACTTTAACAATCCACATCCAGTCCGACGATGGGTATCCTTAGAAAAATCTACGTCCTAATATTCAATATGTAACTTTAACAATGCATATCCTGTCCTTCGATAGGTATCTATTAAAAATCCACGTTTAAGTCTTTGAAAGTCCTTGAAAAAAATCCTTTAAAAATTCACGTTTAAGTCTTTGAAAGTCCTTGAAAAAAATCCTTTAAAAATTCACGTTTATGCCTTTCAAGGTTCTTGAAAACGAATCCTTTTAAAATCCATGTTCTAGTTTATCAAAGTCCTTGAAAATGAATCCTCAAAAATCCATATTTAAGATCATCAAAGTCCTTTTTCTAAATGCTTGAAAACAAATCCCTTAAAAATCCACATTTAAGTCTTTCAAATTCTTTCAAAACGAATCTTTAAAAATCCGCTTCCAGCCTTTCAAAGTCTTAACAAGGAATTCTTTAAAAATACACGTTTAAATATTTCAAAGTCATTGAAAATAAATCCTTTAAAACCCTATGTTTTAATCTCTTATAGTCCTTGAAGAAGTGTATTTTAAGGGTCCACGTTTAAGATAACTTAAAAAAGCCCTGATAGGCTTTAAAACTGCATCCTTTTTAATCGGTTAATATTTGAGAAGATATTCATTGCGTACTTTACATTTCTTGGTATGATTGTCCTTGAAAACGTATCAATCTCATCTAAGGATTTTATTGCCCTTAAAAATTACTCTTTCAAAAATTATATTCATGAAAAAATATTCTTAAAAAATTCACGTTTCTTTGCCCTTGGGCCCCTAAAAAAATATTCTTAAAAAAATTCACGTTTCTCAGTCCTTAGATCCATGAGAAAATATTCTTTAAAAAATTCACGTTTCTTTGTCCTTGGGTCCATGAGAAAATATTCTTAAAAAAGTCACGTTTCTTTGTCCTTGGGCCCCTAAAAAAATATTATTTAAAAATCCACATTTCTTGGTCCTTGGGTCCATGAGAAAATATTCTTTAAAAATCCACGTTTCTTGGTCCTTGGTCGATGAAAAAATATTCTTTAAAAATCCTCATTTCTTGATCCTTTGGTCCATGAAAAAATATTCTTTAAAAATCCACATTTCTTGGTCCTTGGGTCGATGAAAAAAATATTCTTAAAAAATCCTCGTTTCTTGATCTTTGGGTCCATGAGAAAATATTCTTTAAAAATCCACGTTTCTTGGTCCTTGGGTCGATGAAAAAATATTCTTTAAAAATCCACTTGGGTCGATGAAAAAATATTTTTTAAAAATCCACGTTTCTTGGTCCTTGGGTCGATGAAAAAATATTCTTTAAAAATCCACGTTTCTTGGTCCTTGGGTCGATGAAAAAATATTCTTTAAAAATCCACGTTTCTTGGTCCTTGGGTCGATGAAAAAATATTCTTTAAAAATCCACGTTTCTTGGTCCTTGGGTCGATGAAAAAATATTCTTTAAAAATCCACGTTTCTTGGTCCTTGGGTCGATGAAAAAATATTCTTTAAAAATCCACGTTTCTTGGTCCTTGGGTCGATGAAAAAATATTCTTTAAAAATCCACGTTTCTTGGTCCTTGGGTCCATGAGAAAATATTCTTTAGAAATCCACGTTTCTTGGTCCTTGGGTCCATGAGAAAATATTCTTTAGAAATCCACGTTTCTTGGTCCTTGGGTCCATGAGAAAATATTCTTTAAAAATCCACGTTTCTTGGTCCTTGGGTCCATGAGAAAATATTCTTTAAAAATCCACGTTTCTTGGTCCTTGGGTCCATGAGAAAATATTCTTTAAAAATCCACATTTCTTGGTCCTTGGGTCCATGAGAAAATATTCTTTAAAAATCCACGTTTCTTGGTCCTTGGGTCCATGAGAAAATATTCTTTAAAAATCCACGTTTCTTGGTCCTTGGGTCCATTAGAAAATATTCTTTAAAAATCCACGTTTCTTGGTCCTTGGGTCCATGAGAAAATATTCCTTAAAAATCCACGTTTCTTGGTCCTTGGGTTCATTAGAAAATAATTTTTAAAAATCTACGTTTCTTGGTCCTTGGGTCCATGAGAAAATATTCTTTAAAAATTCACGTTTCTTCGTCCTTGGGTCCATGAGAAAATATTCTTTAAAAATCCACGTTTCTTCGTCCTTGGGTCCATGAGAAAATATTCTTTAAAAATCCAAAAATCCCCACTTGTTGATCCTTAAAAAATTAAATGTCGTGGACTCTGGCTCCTTGCTACTTTTGCTAAAAATCTCAAATCGATATACATAGCACCCCAATATACCCCACTTTTCCTACAGAGCAAGAAAAAATCCTTTATAGCCCTTTTTGTGTTGATGTTTTAGTTTTTACATCTATTCTCTCTCTCTCTCTCTCATCCCCATAGCCGTCACCACTTGTGCTGTTCTCTGTGAGTTTCTGTTTGTATTTGTTGTATATATTTATGTATTTATGTTAGAAGTGGTTTAAGTGGCTTTTAATAAATTTACGAGTTTCATATTAAAATTTCATTATTTTGCAGTTTTTATGTTGGCACCAGCAACAACAACAACAACAACGAGCATAGCAATAACCGAGCGTTGGCATAAGCATTTAATGTTTTCATCTGGGCTGTTACTTTTTCGTTCGGTATTACTTTTAGTTTAATTTTAATTTTTAGCACAATTTTTATGTTGCTGTTTTTGCTCGCACAGCAATATAAAGTTATTAATTTTCAAATTAATTGCAGCATCGTTTTTGATTGCCATGAAAATGGCCTTAAATGTGGAGCAAAATATTATTAGATAAAATGGAATTAATAAATAAAATGTTAATAAAACATACCTTTATTTGAGTGTCTATCCAGATTTGGATCCTTAATACCTGAAAGAGAAGAGAAAAATAAAAAATGCGTATTAATATAGAGAAAGGGTAATAATTTTTTTGGATATGTTTTCGAGGAATATCAGACAACGGAATGTGGATTTAAAAAAAAAATTCATGGATCAAAGAAACGAGGATTTAAAAAAAAAAATATTTTTTCAAGGATCAACTGAAACGAGGATTTTTCAATGAATATTTTTTCAAGGATCAAAGAAACAAGTTTTCTTTTAAAAAACATTTTTTCAAGGATAAACAGAAACGAGGATTTTTCAATGAATATTTTTCCATAATAATAAGTATGAAACTTGTTTTTTTTTTTTAAATATTTTTTTCAAGAACCAAGGAACGAGGATCTTTTGAATAATATTTTTTCAAGTATGTACTGACCAAGAAACGTGGATTTTTTAAGAAATATTTTTTAAAGGACATCAGACCGAGGAACATTGATTATTAAAAAATATTTTTTGAAGGACCTCAAGATCAAGAAACATGTTTTTTAAACAATATCTTTTCAAGGACCTATTGATCGATAAATGTGGATTTTTGAAGGGTATGTTTTCAAGGATCTACTGAGCAAGAAACGTGGACTCTTTTAAGGAACTACAGACCAAGAAACGTGGATCTTTAAGGGAAAGTTTTTCAAGGACTTATGGACCAAGAAACTTTGGTTTTTAAAGGAATATTTTTTCAAGGAGCTATGGACCAAGAAACGTGGATTTTTTAAAGGGCATTTCTTCAAGAATCTACAGACCAAGAAACGTGAATATTTTAAAGGATATTTAGTCAAGAATGTACAGACCTAGAAATGTGGAATTTTTAAAGGATATTTTTCAAAGGCTCATACACCAAGAAAAGTGAATAAATTAAAGAATTTTTTTTCTAGGATCTACCGACCAAGAAATGTAGATTTTTTACAGAATATTTTTTCAAGGATCTACAGACCAAAAACTTGGATTATTTAAAGGGATTTTTTTCAAGGATCTTCAGACCAAGAAATGTGAATTTTTTAAGGATCTACGACCAAGAAACCTGAATAAATTAAATGATATTTTTTCAAGGACCTACCGACCCAAAATGTTGATTTTTAAAGAATATTTTTCGAGGATCTACGGACAAATAAACTTGGATTTTTAAAGGTTATTTTTTCAAGGAACTACGACCAAGAAACGTGAATAAATTAAATGATATTTTTTCAAGGACCTACCGACCAAGAAATGTGGATTTTTTTACGGGATGCTTTTTCAAGGATCTACAGACCGAAAACTTGGATTATTTAAAGGTAATTTTTTGAAGGATCTACAGACCAAATACTTGGATTATTTAAATGTAATTTTTAAAGGATCTTCAGACCAAGAAATGTGGATTTTTTACAGGATATTTTTTCTAGGATCTTCAGACCAAGAAACTTTGATTTTTTAAAGAATATTTTTTCAAGGATCTACGGACAAAGAAACGTGGATATTTTTCAAGGATCTATAGACCAAGAAACATATTTTTTCAAATATATTTTTTTAATGGATCTACAGGCCAAGAAACGTTGATTCACTAAAGAATATTTTTTCAAGAAACTTGATTTTTTTAACAATATCAATAAACGTGGATTTTTAAGGATATTTTTCATGGGCATCCAGACCAAGAAACCCGATTTTCTTAAGAGATATTTTTTAAGAACCTGCAGAAGGAGAAGCTTGGATTTTTAAAGGATATTTTTCATGGACATCCACACCAAGAAACTCGATTTTCTTAAGGGATAATTTAAGAACCTGCAGATAGAGAAACGGTTGTTATTAAAGGATATTTTATAAAGGGCCTACAGACCAAGAAATATAGATTTTTCCGGAATATGAACTTAAGTAATGTATTTTATAAAATTTAAGAAATTAGAAGTCGAATTCTTATGGACATTTTTTTGAGGTTTAAAAGGCCGAAAATGCTGATTTTTGAAGAATACTTTTTTCAAAGACAAACGTCGATTTTTAAGAAGAATTTAATTTTTTTTTCCAAGGACCAAAGTCAATTTTTAATAATTTTTTCCAGGAGCCAGTATGGATTTGCAACGTATTTTTTAAGGTCAAACCTGGATTTCTAAAGAAAATTTTTTCAAAGACCAACGAGAACTTTAGAATTTTAGAATGGATTTCCAAAGAATATTTTTCTCGGACCAATGTGAATTTTTAAAGAGTATTTTTTTAAAGGACCAAAGTGAATTTTTAAATATTTTGTTGCAAGACCAACGTGGATTTTTAGGAATATTCTTCCAGGACCAACCTAAATTTTTAAAGAATATTTCTTTCTAGGATTAATAGCCCGACCATTCAAGGTCAAGGATCAATCCTGTAAGACGTGCATTTTGATATAAGCACTCAAAACTGAGTTTTTAACAAGAATCAAATCACTTTGGAAAATGCATTTTTTAAGAATATTTTTTTTTATAGGATTAAGAGTCCTTCAAAACCGGATCATGTAATTTTTTCAGGAATAAGCTGTCTTTTTTAAAGACATTTCTCTCAAGGGGTCAACAGCCATTTAAACCTCTACTTGTGAACGAGCTTTCTCAAGGATTTACATACTTCAATACCTAAACTTTAAAAAGAAGGCTTTCAAGGATCAAAGTTCCTAAACATTCAATTTTTATTTTTTTTTTTCAAGATCCAATAGGTGGTTTTTTGAGGAATATTTTTCACGGATCAATAAACCTTCAAAGTTGGATTTTATCAAGTATCAGATAACTTTTGAACCTCTATTTTTAAGGATTATTTTTTTTTTACAAATCAGCAGCCATTTAAACCTGTATTTTAAACGAAACGATCAAGAATCTGACCTGAATTTTAAAAGGAAAGGTTCCAAGGATCAATGGCCTTGAATATTTAATTTTAAAGAATATTTTTCCGGGATCAATAGATTTTCAAACATTGTCTTTGAAAAGATTTTCCAAGGATCTATCAAGGGTCGGTGTTGTATTTTGAAACCTATAAGGATCTACAGGCTTCCAAAACTGGACATTTTTCGAATTTTGATTTTAAATTGTTGTTTTTTGAAGGATGAACAGACAACTTTCAAACCTGGATTAAAGATCTTAATTTCAAGGATTCACACAGGTTTCAACATAGATTATTAAAGAATTTTTTTAAGAATCATGTTTAAAAAAATATATTAGATTTACCTGGACATTTAAAGAAACTTTTGCAAAAATCAGCAAACTTTCAAGAGTCAAAAAAAAAAAAAAGCATCAAGCATCATCGGATCAGGGTATTATGTCTTTGTGCATTTGTTTGTAACAGGCAAAAGGAAATGAGATAGACCCATAGTTCCTTTTGATGATCTGCATATAATCACATTCTAAGTCGATTTATGCATGTCCGTCCGTCCGTCCATCTGTCCATGTATTTTTGTAAACAAAGTACAGTTCGCATTTATAGCCCAATCCAAATGAAATTTTGCACAAATCATTTGTTTGGCCCAGGGACGAACCCTATTGAAATTGGAGATAATCGGTCTACATTTAGATATAGCTCCCATATATATCTTCGTCCGATTTGCCTTTTATTGTGCACCAAACATGTAATATCAGTGCGAATAGTATAGAATTTTGCACATACAACCAAATTAGGCCTGAAAATAAGTACACCAAATTTGATCGAAATCGGTTCAGAAATAGTTATAGCACCCATATGTATATATTGTTCATCCGATTTGTTATTTTTGTCCTCCGCAACCGTAATATGCACTCTGTAACAACGATATTTAGGGAAATATATCAAATAAAGCTCAGAAATACCTTTGCTAAATTTTATCGAGATCGGTTCAGATTTGGATATTGGTCCCATATATAACTTCGTCCGATTTACCTTTTATTGTGCACCAAATGGGATGGAATTTGACACTAATGACCGAATTGAGTCTAGAAGCTAGTATGTCAAATTTGGTGAATTTGGTGATCGGTTCAGATATAGCTATAGCTCCCATATATATTGTTCATCCGATTTCTCGTATTTGTTACCCACAGCCGTAATATGCACTGCGTAACAACGATATTCAGGGAATATATCAAATACAGCTCAGAAATATCTTTGACAAATTTTATCGAGATCGGTTCAGATTTAGATATAGCTCCCATATATATCTATATCTGATTTCAAATTAATTTTGCACCAAATGGCCTATACAAGTCCGAATTTAAAAGATATAAATGCTTCGGCATATTTAGTCCTTTGAACTTTAAACTATAATTATGATCATAGCGTGATGATTCTCCCATAAAAACGTTTAATTGTTATGCGGAGCTCTACTAAATTAGTAAAGTAGTGTAGGGTGTCATAAAGTCAGCCCGCCCGACTTTAGGACTTTCTTTACTGGTTAAAGAATATTTTTTTGAAGGACCAACGTGAATTGTTGAAGAATATTTTTTTCAGGACCAACGTGTATTTTTAAGAATATTTTTCCAGGACTGTTGAGAAAATATTTTTAAAAAATCCACGACGAAAATCAAAGACTGTTGTAGATGTTGAAAAAATACTTTTAAAAAATTCAATGACTGTTGTAGATGTTGAAATAATTTTTTTTTTAAGAAATCCACGACAGTTGTAGATTTTGGAAAAAATATTTTTAAAAAATCCACGACTGTTGTAGATGTTGAAAAAATATTTTTAAAAAATCCACAACTGTTGTAGATGTTGGAAAAATATTTTTAAAAAACACCACGATCGTTGTAGATGTTAAAAAAAATATTTTTAAAAAAATCCACGACTGTTGTAGTTTTTTAAAAAAAAAATTAAAAAATCCACGACTGTTGTTGTTTTTGAAAAAATATTTGTAAAAAAAAATCAGAAGCTGTAGATGTTGAAAAATATTTTTAAAAAATTCACAAACGTTGTAGATGTTGGAAATTTTTTTTTTAAAAATCCACGACAGTTGTAGATGTTGGAAAAATATTTTTAAAAAATCCGCGACTGTTGTAGATGTTGAAAAAATATTTAAAAAAAAAAATCCATGACTGTTGC